ATGCCCAGCTTCAGCAGATTTCTTCCATGTTAGCATGATGAGATTCCTGTCCTGCAATAAAAATCCTGTGAAACACTTTAAAATGTTTTAATGTTTTAAATATTTTTTGCTTTTAACACACATGATCCAGGTGCTCATTTTTCTTCCGAAAATTACAAAGGCCTACTTTAAATGGCACTAAAGGGACATCAAAGCAGAATAGGATATCAAAGAAAGAATATCCCAGTCTCAAGGAAAACCTAGAAGTTATAAAATCTAGGAAACCTGCCTTGTAAACAGAGACTGAAGAAGTTCAATCCATCTAGTTTCATGAGGAGGTGGTTGAGAGGTGTGATTAATAAAGTGTCCGTGTTAAGGACAGGAAGTCCAGTGCTGGAGGGCCTTTTTATGTGGCAGCCAAAGGAAAAAAAAAATGAGTTGAAAGTTAGAAGAATTTGAATGGGAAATGAGATGCTGTGTTTCACGGTGAAGCTTAGACCTGGAGTGACTTTACAGTAGAGATGTGCAATCTTTAATAGTTGCACTCAAGGTTAAATGCCTTTCTGAAATTCATTACCAGATTGTCTTCACTAGGTGTTGCATGCAAGGCCTGTGATGTGCAGAAAGCCAGATGAGGTTAACTAACAGTTTCTTCTACCACTCTCTGAATATATGAAACCTGCTTAAAGTCCTTTGATAGGGGACCGTATATTCTAAGAAAACCAAGTATTAATGTGGATGAATAGCAAGTTGGCACATCCCCTACTTTTCTGTTCTTTGCGGGAAAGTGAAATACTTCAGGATTTCATAAAATTTATAAGCAGCCTTCTCCCCTCAAATGTGAGTATGCCTCTGTGTGTGCACACACAGAGAGAGGCGCACACACTGTGTTCATGTACGTACAAAGCTAGATTAAGTTAACATTATTTCAGTGCAAATCTCAAGTAAAGTAAAGTTAAGAAATACTGCTTTCATGGTTTTTAATTTTGCCCTGTAATGTGTTCGTTATGTGCACTGAATGAGATAAGAGAATTTGATAAAGAAACATTTTGTGAGCATGTAACTAAAGAATGTGCGATGGTCGCATCGCTTTAGCCATGAGTGTGGAAGGATATAAGAAATCCAGGATTTTGTAAAGAGAGGTAATATCTTGTACTAGGTAATCTGAAGGCTTAGGAAGGTGTGAGCAAACTTAGACTACAACATTTTTCCTTCATTATTGACCAGTATACCCAGTACCACACACTTAACCAAAAGGACAGAATAGTGTATTGTGTGTTTCTTTACCAGTAATTTTCCAAGATTTTTTTTGTTTAATAAGCAAATTTGTATTCTGTTGACAGTTTTTTATATGTAATTTTCTAGGATTTTTATTTTTATTGAAGATACAGGTTAAACCTGCTTGCTTTCACCTATCAGTTTGAAATGTTAATGAATTTAATATTTAAAACCTCTTTACTTATTGCAGGTATCTCTCCCAGATATCTTTCCAAAGTAGCTTTTCTTTCTACTTTCTAGCTGGTTCTATAAAATAATGTTATTAATGTCTTACGTTAGTTTTGTTAAAATGTTACGGATTTCCTTTTTTTCCTTTCCCAGAAGTTTGTTTAACAGAAATGCATTAAATCTGTTCCTGAAATCGGACAGTTTGGTTTGGACATTATGTTGGACATTTGAACATCAATAAGTCATTTCAGGGATTGAGGCCTTGTTCTGTATGTGGCTGTTTGGGGACGTTTTTCAAGGTATTTGTGCGTTATGATGCAGACCAGTGCTGGGAGATGCTTAACAAGAGGGTTTGGAAGAGCTGCATCTGTATTTTTCAGCTTTGGAGTACGTGCTATAAAATCTAAGGATGTGGCCAGCCCTGGAAAGAACCTTTTCCAGGTACCACCCATCCAGCCACAGTGGCAGAAAGCCTGTAGGGTAGGATAGTCTACTCCAAGCTCTCTGCCACTTGTGATACCCAAATAGGCTTACTTAATTCTTATCTAATTATGTCTATATTACACTACCATGTGGACATGTCCACAATCCACCAAATTGTTAATTTTTATTTACATTTGGTGTCATTCCTGCAGGTCAAGCTTCACTTTAAGAAACAAGGAACAAAATCTGACATTTCTTTCTGCTTCAGAGAAGGTGTTAACTTAGTCAGATGTTGACTCATGGGTTGAGTTGGAGCTAGGGCTTTCGTACAGCTCTGCTACCAGACAGAACTGGCTGACTGTAGACGTTTGCTCATGGCCAGTCTCTGAGGAATAGACATCAGTTGGTTACAGTACACGGAGAGAATCAGTCATCTGTGGGGTTCGCCTGTGCAGTGCTTTATGCTCTGTGTTTGCACATACAGAATGCATGTACAGGCAGAGTTGGCCTGATGAGTCGTGAAAGTCTTCTGTAGGTATACAACTTGAACTATTGAAGAAGTCTTTTTAAGCTAGGAGAGTGAACTTGCTTTAAAGCAGATGAGTGTTTCTGTCATCTCTACTGAGGGGCAGTTTCCATCAGCAGAAGGGTAGTAACTGAGGTAGAGAGGGGGGTAAAAATGTTAAACTTTAACACAAATGTCTGCATTGGTTTTTGACCATTGCTTCAGTCTCCTCCTGGCACTGGAGTCTTGTATATTCTGAGAAGAAAAAAAATCCATTCTCTCATACGGAAGGCAGCAGAAAAGGAACTTGTCTTCTAATCCATTGCTATAGATAGGGTGAACTGCCTTCCAAAAGAAAGTAACCTCTCTTCACAGGGCTGTTTTCAGTAGCAAATTCAGAACTACCTGAAATGGCCTGGGTGTTTCCTGTGTTCTGTCCCTGTACTTGCTTTGGCTTCCCCAGGCAGCAGTCCTTCCTTCTGGCATCAGCTTGTGGTCTCTTGCTCCCTGAGGCTGCCTCTCTTCCAGACTTTTCACATGCCAAGTATGGAGTCTGGTCCTTTCCTAAACTAGTCTTTTGAAATCTGTTTTCCAGTGTTGAGCTCATACACATTTTCTTCTCTAAGAGCAGTTTCTGAACCAGGAGAAAATGCAAGACCTACCACTTTCTTTCCCAGTCTTAAAATAAGAGTTTCTCATGGGGTGTTTTTGGGCTTTCCAGTAATTGCTTTTGTTCATCATTTTCAAATTGCTTTCTTGGGGGTCAAGCTGTGAACATTGACCTTTTCTGTATTATCATAAAAAAGGCAGAATTGAGCTTGGGAAATCTCTCAATGTCTCCTTGTTTTCCTTGAAATCTTTTTACGTCATTGATTCTGTAGTTTCAGTAATGCCTTGGAATATGCCAGAGGATATATTTTTCTGGCTTGAGTGGAAGGTACAGAACATGTCACTAGTTTTTCCTCATCTTACATAGTGGCAGCAGTTTCAAAGCACTTTGAAGGCATGTCAAAGGAATGATCCTTCACTCAAAATATTAAATTTTGTAATAATTACAATTCTTATTATGGGACTGGTGATCTGGGAGCTGAAAGATGTCTGTTAATGCACAAATAGCAAGCTGTGTAGTTAAATCATCACTATTATTTTTGTGACCTTCACACATTAACCTGGCAATACTCAAGAGAAAATAAAAATGGGACAGCTTGTAAAACTCCTTTTGAGTCACCTTTCAAAGTAATCCTGTGCTATTTGAGTGTTTACTTCTGTACAGAGGATTACACCAGACCACAGAACCATACTGTGGTTCTTTAGTCTTCCAGGCAGGAAACACAGAAGTTTCCAAATTTCCTGATAGAGAATGGAAGTTGAAAGGCACAAGCTGGTGCTGGTGCTTTATTATAGTTTGTAGCTTTAGTTCTGCACAGAAAACCATACAGGTGAGTCATTCTTCCCAGAGGAAATAAAAAGATTATCAGTGATTTCTTTGTTCTTATTAAATGTATGTCTATACACATGTTGAGTAGTACCTTTATGTAAATTTTTTAATAGTTTTTGTTATTAAAAAATTACTAGACATTTTTTATTTTTTAATAATTGCTAATAGAAATATTTTAATTTCTTTCAGATACAGAAAAAAGGCAACCTGATGTCTTTCATGCTTTGAAATTGGGTAAGTACTGATAGGATGCTTCAACCATGTCTACTTCTTTTAATTTCAGAGCATATTTGTTTGCTAACATGGGAAACAGAGGTGTTCTGTTTTTATGTGCAACTCTGGTTTTTTCCTTATTTTTATTTTAATTTTAAAACCATATTTTTTCTGCAGTTTATACTTATTTTTCTTCATATTCCGATATGAGAAAATCTGCATGAACTCCTGGTTGTGCCCTTCATGCCAAAATGCTGTGATTTTGTAGTTCCAGTTCAGAGGCTGCTGGTAATGTTGGAAGTCAGGAAACTCTGCAATGTTTGAAATCTCTTTGACAGGTTAGAGAGATTCAGTACTTAAACCATATCTAATTACTGCTCTTACAATTGATATTTTGCCATTTAAATACATTTTCAGCTATATGACAACACATTTAGCCTATTGCCAGCAGTACTAGCTATATAGACAGCCAGAAAAAAAATAGTCACTCAGTAATAAAGAAAAGTTCCAGATGGATCAATTTATTTATTTTTTTACAAATATTGGAAGATGTAATTCTCATATGAGATTAAGTCTTTTGTCCAGTGAAGTCATGAGAGATGTCCCATGAGACTGAAGGGGTTTGTTTCTTCTCCAGTCGACCTGCCCTTACTTGGGACTAAGATGCTCTAGACAATGAGGAAACATTGGTCATAGAGCCTTGTGCATGCAGTGGGCCTAATAATCCTTACTGGGGCTGTGCTTCCTGTGTCTGTGGCATAGAAAATCTGGTCATAGTGCACTGAAACCTGTCTCTGCCCCTCCTGACTCTGATAGGTGCATACAGAATAAGTGAACTTGAGGGTTGAGCACAACTGCCTCTCATTTCGGCTTTTTTGTCCATGTACCCACTCCTGACTGTAACATAATCGTGAAGCCATTGGTGTGGTTCACCTTCTTGCTTTCGACAGGGAGCTGCAACCCGAAGAGGGCTGTGAATTAGCAACTTACAGTTTCTGATGGATTTTTGTATCTTTTTTATTATTCTTGTTTGTAAATGAGAGATTTTTATGGAGGAAAATACATTTTTTTTCTCAGCATCTGTCTAAATAGATTTCAGCAATGCATCTTTCAATCAACAGTTATCTTCCAAGTTCTGTTGTCGCTGCATTCCTATTGAAAAGTTAGAGGTGTGTTTTAAATGGTCAAGCCTGGCCTTACCATTCAGATCTCAGCCTGGGTTTGGTACAACAGTTTAACAGTTGCTTTTCAATTAACTGTCATAAGTCACCATCTCAGGAGCTTTATGGCTTTTCAGGCTGACAGAACTGGAAATGGGCAGACCTAATAGTGGAGAAGGAAGAGGTGATAGGTAGCAGTACCAGGAGCTCTCTCTTAAATGTTGACTCTTCACACGTAAGCTACCAAAACCTCCTACCTGGAAGGCCTCAGGCCTGTTAGCTTATATCCCTGTTATACTCCTGTAACTTTTAGGCTGAGATTTAGAAATGTTAGTGCTGGGTCAGAAGGAGTCTTAAGAGGGGAGGTGAATGAATACTGTTCAGTGTACTTCTTTGGGGTTTTTTTTCTGAAATACTTGGCTATGGATAACATTCTGTGATTCTGTGATGTCAGCACTGTTAAAAAACCAGCTCACTTGGTTAAATGTCCAGGCCAGAGTTCAAAGTCAATTCTGGAGTCTCTGTAGGTTCCAGGGTTTCTTTTTAACAAGGTCTGTGATGCGGCTCTGCATTAAAAAAGCCACCTGCTGTCTTTTTACTAAATTGGGACATAAAAAAAGTAGTTTTGTGCTTTTATGTCTTTCCTGTTCCAAGAAATTAGCTGAGTGACACGCATGGGTGTTAGTTTCAGTGAGTGCATTCAAGTGCCTGCTGGGGTTGTCTGGGATTCTGACTGGCTTTCCAAGGAAAACGTCCATGCCTGTGATTGAGTTGAAGGCAGCACATGTCATGAAGCAGTTTGCCATCCAGAAGTTTTTATAAAAGTGAGAATTTTTCCATTTGCATGGCAGTTGGTAATTTGCTGCTTCTTGCCTCTGTTTCTATGGTCTTACATATTTGATCACAGAGAACATTTTTTTTTCTCTTAGCTTCTTCCCTGCTTTTGCCTGCCATATGTCATCAAAAAAGTAAGGGAGGTCGGTGAGCTTAAGGTCTGTGTTTAAGATGACCCTGACTACCTCATACATTTTTAAAAAGTGCTTGTTCCTACCTTTATTAAGATTTAGGAAAAAAAACCCAACAAACTCATAACCTGGTTAAACTATGTTCAGTAGCATATTTTGTACTGCTTTTCGTAATCCAGGCAAGAACTCAGTGACTACCGGCCTCTTTATGTGGAAACTTGAAGTTCACTTTAAAGAACTAGAAAGATGACAGGAATAATGCATTAGTTTTGAGCAAGGAGAAGAGAAGTTTTGCATTGGAAATTTAGTTTAAATATGGGACACAGAATTAAAAAAACCCAAACTTTCTGAATATCAGAAAGTTGAGCACAGGAATAAATTAATTCCTTGGGAGATTGTGGAATTGTATCAGTAGAAGTTTTTAGAATCAGTGAACCACCTTTGTAGGAGGAACTTATGGTGACATAGGGTGTTGTTCTATCTGCCTAAGGCAAAGGACGGCCTCCACCACCTTTCAGAGTGCCTTTGTACCTGCTCTCTTTGATTCTAAAATTGTTGTTTCAGTGATTTCAGCCTGTGGAAATAGAACAGGGATCTTTGTCCTGCGAAAGGACAAATCATGGTGTCTCAGCATCATCAGTTTTCCTTGCACGACATCATCTTATGACAGTTTAGTAGAAATAATCCCTACTTGTGTCTTCACGTGTGGGATGCACTGCAGTTTATACAGCCTTTATAGCTTAGTCATTAATTTCAGAAAGTAATTCTTTAAATGAGATTGCATTGTAAGTGTACAGGTAGGGAAAATGGGGGAAGACAGTGCCTCAGTTTTATGTAGCCTGGGAAGATGTGCTTGTCAACTAAAAGATCAAAGATCACTACAGATATTTAGCTTTAGTGTTGCAGTTGCTCTAGTACTGTAATTTTTTAATTTTAATTTCACTAAATGTAGACCAATGTTAGCAAATCAAAATATGTATGAATTCAGTGGCTAAACAGTTCTCTGTTGGTCATGTAGATTATGTTTTACCACTGTTTTACAGGAAACTTTCAGCTGGTTAAAGAGATTGTTGATGAAGACGCAAGTCAGGTCAATATTGCCAATGTTGACGGCGCATCTCCATTAATGATTGCGGCTGTAACTGGGCAGCTGCCCCTTGTTCAGCTCCTTGTGGAGAAAAATGCTGATATCGACAAACAAGATAATGTTCATGGCTGGACAGCACTAATGCAGGCCACGTACCATGGGTAAGATATATGCTGCCTTTGGGTCTAGCAGTAAAGAAATTTTATTCTTCTTACATCCCAATAGAAAAAAATCTTTTTGATACTGACTCTGGAAGGAGAGGGGTCTTACAATAAATTGGGAGACTTGTGCCCTCAGTTTTCTGAGACTCTTGCACTACCCTCAACTTTTCAGAGCAGACCTGAACCCTGTTTGGATTTCAGAATGAGTGGCACATTTAGGAACTACTCAGTAAGTGCTGAGAACATGGTGCTCCAGGCAGCACTAGGAGCTTTAACGAAGATTCCAACTTCCATCCTTTGCTTTTTTTTTAGTGTTTGGAAGACGGGATCGCCCCCTGCCAGGGTTGTAGGCCTACATCAAGTTGTGAAACATGAAGGTGATCACCCTTCTATGTGCCATAATTTCCATTCTTAAAACCATTCTTATGTTCCCCTGTTCAGCTTTTAGTTTTCATTGCGTTTTCTGAAATGCTGCCACTGGAGAACTGATTGTCATTTTCTCTGAAGCTACGGTACAGATACAGGCCCTTAGGAGTCAGACCCCAGAAACTGGCCTAGTACTTCACATCTGATCTCTGTCACATACTTGACGTTGTCTGAAATAGGATATTCAGTTTAGGAAGGTGAACTTTTCTCCACTGTTGTAGAGGTGGCCTTCGGAAAGGTGAAGATTCACTTCACTGCCTGGTAACACTCACAGTAACTGCACAAATGCAGATATTGTGCTCCAGCTTTTGTTTTTAGTCAGCAGATCTCATTGGACTATGAAAGTGCAACAGAGAGGAAAAAACAGGAGGTCAAATTGTCATTGCTTTGTGAAAACTTTCTGAAGTGGTTCCTGGGACCTACGTAAGATGAGATTCTCTGCTTCCTCACCAGCACAGTACTGATAGTAGCAACAGCCGTTCCACAGAAGTGCTTGAAAATCAGTTTTTATGATGCGGCCGTTTTGCTTAGCAGCAGCCAGCCCCGTGCACAGCTGGAGTGGAATCAGCCAGCAGCAAGTGATGAGCAGGGCTGCTGGCACTTCCACTTGTGAGTACTCCAGCACTCCTCTTGTCTCTGGAAGCACAGAGCATGGCTGACTGCTGCGTCTCTTCAGATACTGCCCTTTCAGTTTCCTGGAGGACTGTGGTATGAAAATTCCCTTCCCTATTTTATCAATGAGTCTTTCTAGTATGAAAGTGTAGTAACTTTTTTAATACACTTAATGTTTGGGGTAGTGGAATTTTACTGGAGCCTTTGGTGTTGTGCATGCTTAAGTAAAACAAACTAAAGGATAGTAGCTCAGTGGAAGGACCAGAAGAACATCCCAGCCCTGGAAGTAAGGACTTGGCTTCTTGGAAGCTTAGAGCTGTCCATGAAGGATAAAAGATACCCCTAGTCAACCAAGATAACTCCAGCATCTTAACCCCTCTAATATTGTCTTTGAAACCCTCTCAGTATTGTCTGGCATCTTAGATAACTAAGGATAGCAAGACTGACTCCAGGGACATCTGGATGAATGGACAAGCAGCAGGAATTTTTCAGAAATACAGTTGCTTTGCACATTTTTACTGTGACTAGTGATTGGTAGTGTGTCTGATTGCGATTAGCCAAATCATGTTGCACCTAAATGCTTGAAGGGTACAAGAACTACATGTAAAACCACATATGGGGTGCCCCAGTTTGGCTGGGACACCTCATGTGCATGAATAAATATTGACTTTGCATCCTAGCCTCTCTCCTTGGTTCACATGAGCCAATTGCAAATTTTTGCAGCAACTGGAAATCTTAAGCCTCCGCATAACTTCAGCTTACCCCTTCTCAGGGGCAGCGGTGGTGTGGAGGGTCTCTGGTTTGAAGGAGGGAGCAGATGAGGTCTGTGTGAGCCGGAGGCACTAAAGGGTTGTGTCTCTGTGTGCCCTCATGGTGCAGGACTGGAAGCAGGATGGGGGATGACACAGTTTTAAGGGAGAGAAGAAAAGTAATGGGAAGTATGCAGAGGAGCTGTGGTGGGGATGAGCAGAATTTTTATTAGAAGAGAGGAGGAACCTTCCTTCTCTGTGCTAGGTTGATTTTATCTGGAGTGAGTCCATAAGTGAAAACTCCATCCATATGATAAGAAGTAACGCTCTGAAGTGGTGTGGTTGAGATTTGTTTGTCAGCTTCTGTGTTAAGAGTTTGCAGTCAGCTATTGCAACTTAAGAACATTTTTTTCTGTGTTACTTATGCATGCCAGAGTTTGTTTTTATAGAAGGTCAGTCTCTGCTCAAGAGGAGTTTTGTATTAAATATATTTTCCCTAGCTTTGTTGTCTGTTTGTTTATTTTGTAGGCTGGATTACAGTATTGTTTTTAGCTTACAAGGCAAGTCCTGCTTATTTATTCAGGTGTATGAGAGGGGAGAGGGGCTAATGGGAATGGGATGGCGAGTTCCTTTTATGCAGCTGACTTTTATGAGCTTTTGTTGGAAGGTGTTTGTGTTGGTTATCATTTAATGCTGATTGGTTTTGCATTTTAAACACCTCAAGGAAGCGATAATGTGCCTTCTCAATTATGTAATTTATATCTCTAATTAACTGAAGTAGTGTTTGGAGTTTATAAATTATCTTAATTAAATTTGGCTTTTCTAGATGCAGTTTCTTACCTGTTCTGAATATGAAGTTGTGTTGAAGTATTAGTAATGGCATATGATGACTATTGGACTTCCTTTTGTCTTTCCATCTGCTTTTTTGCCCTAGGCATTAATGACCTCTCATTGGGAAGGTGTTTGGCAACAAATTCCAGAGTCATTTCCAGAGGGTCAACTTAAGAAACTGGCCATTCAGATTATGTTTTTTACACCGACTTTCTGCATGTTGCTTAGTGTAATTCATAGTGAGTAAACAGTGAGTGACAAAGGAATTGTGGGAGCTTCTGTATAGCTTGTGGACTAATTTTAGACTTTGTTAGCTGTAGAAGAGGTAGAACTCTGATCTCTAATTGAGGAGCAATGGTATAGTGGGATAAAAATGGAGTATTACTTTTTTTTTTTTTTTAACGAGTGATGCCTTTTTTCTTCCCCTAAAGAAACAAAGACGTTGTAAAGTATTTGTTAAATCAAGGAGCTGACGTCAATCTTCGTGCAAAAAATGGATACACAGCTTTTGACCTGATAATGCTGCTGAATGATCCAGGTACGTTATTTCAAAGAGCACCGAGGAAATGTACAACGTAAACGGATAAATCCCTTCCAGTCTAGAAAATACATTAAACTTGCTAGGAATTACCCTCTGAAGTCTGTGCTGGACAGGAGAAGGATGCTGCCTGAAAATGGTGGGTTTTAAGTTACTTGGTTAGATGAGTATACACATTTATAGGATAACAGATTTTGCTCGTTCCTTTTGCCTTTGTTTGTGAAGATGCTCCAAAATGTGGTGTTTGTGTCACCAGAGCCAGTTCAGTCACATTTGACTCTGGTGGCCCAGGTATTCTGCAGTGTCATTAGCGCAGAGCTATGAACTAGAGCTAGAAGTTTCCATTCACTAAACAGCAGTAAAGGGACAGGACAAAAAAAGTACAATCAGAAAGAAACTAGTGAGTTTGTGGCCAAACCTCCCACCAGGTCTGTAAAGGCTGAGAATAAATCATACTTCAGGATTCAGGTTGTTTTTCATGGAAGTGCTTTAGAAAAAGGCAGCATGTTTTGGGGAGGCATCAATGAAACACATTGAGGTTTTGTGGTTTTTAGTATTTTTTTAAGCTTATGTAATTTGTTATTGTTAACTTTGCCTGGTACCTGAATTGCTTTATCTGAAGCCAAAAAAACACTACTGCTGATGGAATTAATGTTTTTCTCTGTATTTACCCATTTTGGTGTTTTTGGTCACTAGCAGGTACCTTTCCTTTGTCAAAAGTGGATCACTAATAGTATGACATTTTTGAACAAAAATACAGTGATTTTTTTTTCCTTATACCTAACTTCTTGTAGGACAGAGTAGTTTGTCTTCTTACCTGTTCAGCAAGAGGAATGCGTAGGTCAATTCTGTGTACCCTTCTGAAAGTCCTTCCTGACTTCCGTATACAATACAGATTTACAGAATATTTTTTTTGCTTTCCTGTCCTCATCTCATACTTGTTCTTTTTTCTTCCTCTTCCTTTCTTTTTTCTTATTTTTTTATCCAACTTTTTTTTACTGTGTATTTTCAGTCCCTTCATTGTCCAGGCTGAACATCTGCTTTCTCTTTGGGATTTAATTTCAAGCTTCTTTTCTGCAACCTACACTTGAAGAAAGAATGTTCATTTTTCTCTACTCTCTTCTGTGTCAGGTGAGAAAAGGGAGGAGGATCACAATGTCATTCTTAACTTCTGCACAGTGCAAGAGGAGGCAGTTCCATTGGTCACACATGACTGATTCTGACTGAATAATAGACTTATTTATATTTGTAAATAACTTTAGCCCACTATCTGGGAAAAAGGGGTGGGAAGCACAGGCCAAGAAAGAAGGATTCATCTGCTTTGTGTTTGAGAGGTAGATCAATTACTACTTACATGAGATTTACAGGGAAAGTGGCTGCCTGTCAGTCATATGTCAGTCATAATTTGGGAAAGCAAAACAAACTAAACATTATCTTAATTTGTTTTTTTTTAGACACAGAGCTTGTACGGTTGCTGGCATCAGCGTGCATGCAAGTAGACAAAGACAAGAATAAACTGAGCAACAGATCATCTTTGCCTTGTTCCAGAAGTAGGCAATCCTTGAATGTCCCAATGTTGCCAGATGACAAAGGAGGTCTAAAGGTAGATATATTAACTCTTAATAAATAACCAATGTATTGTTTCCTGTCATGTATGAAGCAAAGAAAGTAATTGCTAAGTAGTAGTTTGGATCTCATATGTAACTGTTTTTTTGGGGGGAGAGGGGTGGTTCTTAGTTCCTTGTTGACAGTACTTCCTGTTTTTATGAAATGTGGCATGTGTTCAGCTTTCCTTTGGTCAGATGGCAAAGCAAAGACTCTAGGTGCAACTCCTCTGGCAGGGTGGTTGGACTAGATGATCTCCAGGGGTCCCTTCCAACCCCTACCATTCTGTGATTCTGTGACTTTTAAGTAAGAGTTTACATTGAAGCGTTTCAGTGCCTAGATATAGATCTCATCATTGCAGAAAGTACCATGTTCATAAGTTTGGAACTGGATTTTGATTATGAACTTAATTCTAAATCTGCCTTTAAAATCCAAATGTACTCCAGTTTTAGTAGACTGCTCTTACACTAATAGCTAACTTTTTTTTTTTCTTTGAAGTTGAAGTGTTATGGAGACTTGTTTTTTGAATGGTGACCTTTTAAGTTAAGCTTTTTGGCCAGTAAATATTCAAATTTTCCTCTTCTGGGCAACAACGATTATGTATTTGCCTTTTGCCTGATTTTTGTAACTCTTTCCATCCTCTTATCTTGAAGATAACATTTGTTCAGAGGTCACGTTGTCTATAATTACTCTAGAGAAATTTAATCAGTCTGGTCTGGTTTTGATTCATGTAGGCTCATTTAAATATTCTCAGTCTGTTAAACAAATGCACATATATTCCTACCTCCTTTCTGTTAACGGTATTCATACTAAAATATCTGATTACAAGTAGGCTGCTTTTGAAGTTTAAAAAAACCCAAACCCCTTTCTGTGTCTCCTGTTTGATCACTTTTGTCACTGACTAGTAGACTTTTTATTTTGTTGGGTGTTCTTTTATTTGTAATTTATGCACGATACAGGCCCTTGTTCCTTTACTTACTGATTACGTGGTGGATAAATATGATTTCATTCTTTACCTCTTTCACACAGGAACTGTTGACTACTTTGTTTTTCAACATTTTGTGGATTTGAAAACAAAGTTGTGCCTTTTCCATATACAAAATCCTTATTTTATCTCTTTTCTTCCTGCCTATGCTTCTTCAGCAAGTTATACTCTCAATGTTAGTATTGGAGCATGTGAATTATCATATTCAGTTTCTTTTTTAGAGGAAAGTTGTTTGAGGGCAGAGATTTCCAATTCTTCCCCTTATTCTTTCATTCCTAATATTGTTACAAATATCTAAGGTATTTCTCAAGAGGCAACAGTGTTTTCCTGTTCTTTGATATTATTGCCTTCTCCCATTGCTACTAAGTTTCAGGTTTTTGACAGATGCTATTTTTAACCACAAATGCATTTTTGTTACTTGGCTGCTTCAGTCTAGTTTAAAGCCCTTTATTCCAGCTTCCGTACGCGTGTGATGTGGTAGGGTATATGGAGAGGACAGAGCCTTCTACAGTAGCAGAATGGAAACTCCAGAGCTCAGGCCTCAGACCTGAACACCAGAGGACAAGTTGAACCTTTCCACTATCCTTCCTTTCTTGCTGGAGACCAGTAGTTTTTTATATGGCAGCATAGAGGCTGTACTTACTCCATTTTGGGTCAGTTTGTGGTGCGAGCACATGTTAATGAAGCAGAAGCGCTGTGAAGCAGAGTGACAAAGGTGATAGGAACTTAGAAGTGATCTTTTTGTTCACTGAAGTTAGCTGGCTCCTGTAACAAACCAACCACATTGTTCAAGCAGTCTCTTTTGGAAGCTTGTTGTACTCTCCGTTAAAACTAGATGGATGTTTTTGCCCTTTCATTTCCTTTTGCAAGGTGAATAAATGCTGAACTGTGTGGTTTTTATTGCTTTCTCAGACCTATTTGTCTCTCTTGCCTTTTTCCATCAGGTCTTTGTTGCTGAAAGTAATGTAAATCGTCATTAGTTATGGCTCCAAAGAGATACAGAGATGTGAGAACACTATCTGTTACTAATGCTCTGTACAGACTTATAATCTTTATAATGATCACCTGCTAGAAGGATTGATTTACAGGGAATAAGTTTACAATATATATTAATTATTTCTACTGTGTGACAGTTGGGAAGCCATATATCAGTAAGCAGTTGAAAAATGTTAAATCCCAAGGAGAGAGGGGAATATGTATGGTGAGAAGGAATGGATAAGAATAAAGATTAAACTAGGAAAGTATGTTATATGAATTTGTTATCATACAAAGCTGCCTTGATGAATTATCATCACTTTTATATGACTTGATTATTTTTTTAAAGTGTTTCAGAAAGGCAAGAAGATGCTTTACTCAGAAATAATCAGAAGATATTTATAATCTGATTTACCTACAAGCCACATAATCTTTAATACAGATTGCACAGGTCTTAACATAGCCTATAGGTCTCATATAGTCTAGAGGAATGTCTTGTTAAATACTTGAAGTACCTTGCACTGTCTGCCTGTAAAGATATGCAAGTCTGTAAATATTTGGATAAGTTTTACTTTGAGCAAAGATGGTCTTTTAGTGTAACAGTCTCCACATATGTGATACCTGTGTGGATGGAGGTTGTAGGAGCAGTAGTCCTCAGGTTTGTGGTGTTTTCTCAGCTGATTTCCTTGCCTTGCTCTTCTTCAGTTTATAGTCTTTGAAGTCCAGCAAGGTTTAAGTTACCTGTGTAGCAGCACCGTATGGATTGTGGATCTTTATTTTGACAGGAATACTGTCAGAACTTTCAGTTTGACGCTGATTTTATAAGGAGAGGCTTTCATGCAGATCAGATAAACTTCTATGCGTGCCTCTAAAAAGCAGAAAATATACATGTCAGTTGGTTGATGCCAGAGAGTGTACGAATGGGTGGTGAAATTGGAAGCTAATGGAAGGACTAAATACTTACCTTGTAGCTGTGAAAATTTCATATTCAAATTGCTCTAATACTTTTATCTACCTCAACTTTCCAGATGGTGTGGAAAAATATTGTAAGCCATTTGCCAGATTGAAAATAAGGAAAGAGATTAATTTTATGCATACAAGTTATGGTGAAGGAGTCTGTTGATAATTGCAAACCACTTTAACATTGCTGTTGTAGTATATCTCAAAAACTTGACAGATTTATCACTGCAGTAAGGATTACTTAATTGTACATTTCTTTTCCTCTTTTTTTTTCTTTTAGTTGGAACTAAATTGTTGTATCTTCTTGTCAATCTAGTCCTGGTGGAGCAGGATGTCCAATCGATTCCGCAAGCTGAAGCTGACTCAGACATTGCGCCATGGATTTCCTTCCAATCAGTTTGTGCCTTTTCCTGATGAGCCTGAACCATCATTAAATGCCACCATAAAAGCAGTTTCACAGAGTGATGCGGACACCTCTGGAAACCTCGATGCTGCTATGGCTCGGATCACAAATAACAAAGCTAGTGGTAAAGCCAGAGTTGTCTTGTGGGAAGTGAGCTCTTGGGGGATAGTCAAGATGATACTATTTATGATTTATTGATTTAGTTTTTATTTAGCTTAATATAACTGAAAAGACATGTAAGGTACTTGTAGTATACAGAAAGAGAGGTGTTTGTACTCCTGACTGTTGATCGTGCTGAACACTGAGCACAGCATCATTTAAGCAGGAAAATGCTGATATAACAATGTTACTGTTCTGTACCAAGCACTGTTCAATTGGACATTAGAGACAGGTCACTCAAAAGTTAGTATCTTCGATAAAATAATTGATGTAATGAAAACCAATTTATTTAAACAAATAAATGAATATTTCTGAGAAGGAAGAGAGACTGGAAAAGCCCAAATTGTAAAGCACATCTACTGAAGTTGTACAGCTCTCCATGTGAAAACCCCAGTTTGTCATGTGAAATAAGGATATTGGCTTAATGTCAGTTAGGTGCACGACACTCTCACTGGTTCTGTGTGTTTACTGCGGGTGAAGCTGTTGAATATTTGAGCAATAAGATATCCTTGAGAACTACAGTAGGAGCGTGTAAACTCTAAAATATTACTTATATATTTTTCAGATGTGAACACTGCAAAAGGCGGAAAGGAAGATGAACTATTGACAACCATGGTATGTCGCAGTGTTCTTGGTGTGTTCAGCCCAATTCAGAACGTCATGCAGCTCCCATAATTTTTTTGGGTTTTTTTTAGCTCCTATCCAAGTCACCACTAGAAAGAGAGCTGTCATTGTTGATAGTCACTAGACAGGAACTGACAGGCTGTGATACATCAGTAGTTCTTAGACTAGGAAGTACTACAAGTAGTGTGACAAGGAAGCTGTTGACAAGTACTGACTTTTTTCAAGAGTTAGCCATACATTTGTATGATCAGCAGTGAATTAATAAAATGGATGGAATAGCTGATTAGTTGCTGACAAGCAGTATACTGTGAGGAAAATTTGCATGGAACATGATAGAGTGTGAAAGTGAGAAATTACTAGAAGAGGCAATGATGAAATATTTAGTTTGGGATGTTTGTATTATTCTGTTTCTTCTTTTGTTATGCTGTAGCTTTAAATTCCCCTAGAGTTTACTCCCTGGAGATATCATTAAATTTGGCTGGTTATCCTTTATGTTCTTTTTTAAAAAGATTGAGTAACTATTTATGTGACTGACTGACAGAACTCCAGGGAGCCAAATCAGTTGTGTTGGTTTTTGAGGGGTTTTTTTTTCTCTTTTCTGGAGAACATATACAGCAAGAACAGGCAGTTGTTCACTGTTTCCAGGTGTCCTGTCTGGGATACAGAGAGGAGAACCTTGTTATTTCTTTGGAAATTAATGGTTAACGTTCTTGTTAAAATCGGTTTGAAGCAAGACACAGCCCAATGAAGGAAAATACAGTTTCTGTTGCTAAATGGACTACATTAATTGTATTAAATGAATGAGTGTACTGATGGGTGCCAGAATGTCCCTTGGATTCTCTCTGTTATTATATGTTGTACCTTTTCACAAATACTACTTTTATGTTCTTGTTTCTATTTTATTTTGTTTAAAATGCATTTTTCTCCATCATTTTATTTAACTTCGAATATTGAGACTATATCATCAGCTCCCAATAATCTTTCTTAAGAAGAAGGTGTTTTCTTTTTCCTTTTCTTTGTTTCCCTCTCTCAGTTGAGAAGCAGTGCTCCGTTTACCAGGCTGCCCAGCGATAAACTGAAAGCAGTGATACCCCCTTTCTTACCGCCCTCAAGTTTTGAGCTTTGGAATTCTGACCGAACGCGAATCAGCAAAGATGGCAAAGCTGAACAGATGAGAACTGCCTGGCCACAGAGAGCCATCAAGCATGATTTTAACAGCAGTGGAAACTCTGATATAGTAAGCAAACAAAATGTGTATGAAAATACTGTCTTATGTCCAGGCCATGCTGGCTGGTGGGCCACACTGTTTTTCTGATTAGAAGTTACTTTAAACCCACTGTTTCAGTAATGGTTTGTCCTTTTAAGCCCTGCTGTTCAGGAAGAATATACATCTCTGTGAAAGGAAGATAAATGGAATGAAAGTTTCGTATGAAATTAAAGAACTTATTTGCTGTTAATCATAAAAAAAGTCTTGCCCTAATGAATTTGCTGCAAACTGCTGACGTGTCTGCTGGTTCCACCCATATATTTTAGTTGCCAGAGTAGGTACAGTCATGGGAGTGTGGTGGAAACTGCTCTGGTTTGGATGAAGACCAGGGGCAGAAGAAAAGAATGTAAGTTTCTCAGTTTTTAGAAACTGGTTGGGAGGGAAGAAGTATCAGTGAGACAAATATACAGACATAACATTCTGAAATATTAGTAACAGATAACACTGTGGCAATTAGTGATCAAGTGGGCTTGAAGGCATACAGCCTTAAAGTATAAGTTCTGTAAAAACTCTAAATAAGTTCTATGTTTATGGAAGGAGCTTGCCCAATTCTACAGTGTTTTTAGTGAAAATGCACAACTTGAGACAAGAAGCAAAACACCGTCGACGGCATTTGTTTCTGCAGTTAGTAGGAGAAGAAATGCTTCCTCCCCGAGCTGTAGACTCTAATAGCCAAGTGTAGAGAAGAGTTTATTTTACTAGTCCAGAACTGTATTTCGTGACAGTCCTAGAAATGGGACAATGAAGACATTTTAGGAGGAATTTTTCTGTTGTCCTTTTGCAAATGGAAAGAGAGAAAGTTCATGTCACTTGTTGCAGCTTAGTTAGTGAGAAACAGAGATATGGTGGCTGAGAAGTACGTCGTAGCTGTTTTGTAAGATGAGAGAGACAAAACCAGGATTCTGCAGGAAAGAAGTTTCACATGTGATTATTTTTTTTCCCCTACTGCTTGTAATATTTTGTGTATCATCTCAGGTGCATCGTATATGCTTATTTTGTGTTGGCCAAAGCTTAGGGAGAATTAATGCCTTTATTATGGTGTCAATTTTGTTGAATATATATGTTCAATATATATATTTATATAAATATATATTCAATATACTTGTATATGTAAAATAAGATTATTCTGATATCCCTTTTCTTCTTCAGTCAAAGTGTCAGAACTTAGGATACATAGAATAGTAGTTGAAGTTTGATCTTTGTTTTGCTCACATAAGAAAGATAAAAATTATTTTTCTTGTTTTCAAGACATCTGTTAGCAAAGGTACTAGACCAGTCAAATTACCAGTATTTGCAAGAAGACCTGCATCTCCTTCAAATTCCAACAACTTCAACCATTCTCCCCATTCTTCTGGTGGGTCCAATAACATTGCAGGAATTAGCAGACATGGAGGAGAACTGCATAACAGATCAGGTACTGTGCTGCTTTTATTTTTAATAAGAAGGTCATTTGAACCTGGTTCAACTAAAAAATTGGTGTTTGTGATGATGGTAGAAGATACTAAGCCTTTTCTGAGGGCTCCTGCTGCTGTATAGGCAAAACTTATATAAATTTTGTTGTAACAGTATTGGACTTCAGACACCTACATAAGGGAACAAAAGCCTCAGATCTGTTGTAGAAGTCTTATAGGTTAACCCCTGTCTCAGAAAAAACATGTTGGTTTCATTGAGTCCAGACACGATGCATCAGGTGGATGCTTGTTCATTGCAATATACAGTTCATAGAGCCGTCTCTTTTTCTTACCCATGTTGCTTACTTTTTGTTTAAAATAAAAACCAGTTTTCAATTGAAAACAAAGCTGCAAGCATTGTATCTGGCACCTGAAGAGACAACATGGTTAAGCAGCTCACCAAATCTATATCCAAAGAGTATGGCAGTCAGCTCTGTGTGTGTTCATACAAGGCTGGCTTCTCTCTTCTCCTGCATTTGTTTTTTTGTTCCCTTCCCTGAAAGCTGCTAAACCAGTCTGAATCTTGCAACTCTCTCTCGCTTCATCCAGACAAGTTTTTAAAAGAAAGTGAACAGTGGAGAGGGGTGAATTAACAAATTAACAAATTATTTTAAAAGAATTAACAAATATTTTTAAATTATGTTTTCTTTGACTCTGTTTTTATTTTTTTTTTCTTAGGTGGGAGTGCAGATAATGTTTTGTCTCAGATTGCAGCACAGAGAAGAAAAGCAGCAGGTTTACCTGAACAGAAACCCAGTCAACAGCATAGTCCAGTCCAGTCAACTCCTTCATCCACTCCGTCTGATTTGCAATGTGCTCAAGTTGTTGGCAATGGACATGTTGTAAAGGTACAGATCAATGTGAATTTTTGTACTTCCAAATTGAATAATTTTAATAGGTCATGTCTCAGTCAGGGATGGTTGATAAATATAACATGACATTGCACGGCCTAAAATGAATGAACAGCTGTTACAGCAGTGGAAGCTTTTCAGCTCCACAAATCTTCCTTTTAATTACAAGTCTACAAAAAAATCAGACCTAATAATAAAACATTATTTTGCTTTATTATTAATTTCACTCTGTTTTAAAACCACTATGTGTAATACTTGATCTTAGGGTAGGTCTGCACTGTTATTTTGGTTTTTCATTATTTCTTTCTGTAACCCTGGTTGAGTCCAGTGTTTTATGTTAGTTGTTCTTGCACTTTGCTCTGAAGTGGTAGAGCTAGTTTCCCTCCAAGGGCACAACCTGTGTGCAGAGTATGAGATAATTTGTTCCAGGATGTGCTCACCACAACAATATGCGTATATCCATTCAGCTCCACAAGGTATTATTTTTAAACAGTATGAACATTAAGTTGTCATCACCAAAGTCAGGTTTTACTCCTGAGTGCAGGCCATATTGTCTGCTGACTTACCTGTCAATTTCCTGGAATAGCTTTACCCTCATGACCTGCCCAATTTCATCCATGTACTTTGAAGCAAACAACTGCTTTGTAAAAAATTTTTAAGGATTAAGATTTTTAAATCTTCAAAATCTGCAGAGAGATAAATTAGAAAGTGGCATCATAACAAGATGTTGTGGTACGATATTGTGAAATATATGGGTTTATTCACGCAGGGAAACATTACATTTCAGAGAGCAAGAGAAAGAAAGCACATCATTTGGGGCTTTAGTTCTAATGTCTGGTTTTCTGAAAATGTTAGAATACATGACCAAGAGCAAAATTTCTCAATTTTTTTCTTGTGTAATCGCCAAACAGCTCACTTTGCTTTGTTTTGTTTTGTTTTCTTTGCTTCTCTTCATGAGATTCTTCTTGAAATTTTGTCCAAAGACACAAAAATGGCCATAGTATAAAATTACTACATTTGCTATCTCGTTTTGTGATGTCTTCTATTGCAACAGTAAGCAATAGGTATATTTAATCAGTAAATATCGATGATAAATGAAGTTACAAAGTTGTTTAGTGATTTAATGGGAATTTCTGGAGGACAAAAATCAGAAAAAAAAAAGCATGCAGCTATCAATGCCAAAACAGTTTTCATGAACAATCGCTTTCTCACTGATCTACCAGTCCTGCTTCTGAAGGGACTGGTGGTTGCTTTTCAAAGATGAGATTGGGAGCTAAAATTTGTAACTGCTGGACCCCCAAAAGCTGTGGACTCATACTGGTTCTTTGGCACACGATAATCTTTCCTCCCTTTCTACCCCATGTAACTGCTTCCTGGGTTAAAAATGATCTGTCTCTTTCTTTCCTGTAGACAAAGCCACTTTATTATCTTCTTCCCTCATTAAAGTCTCCTGTACTGAACAGCTACCAAATGCTTTTTCTTTTAGAGGTGATCTGACCAATATATTTCTAATTAAACTCTCAGCAGTTCCTCTCAGCTTGTTTTTATCTTGGAAATAATTTGAGAAGAACTGCTTGTGTGCCCCAAAAAATCATATTTTTCTCCAGTTATATTAGTTACCCTATTAAGAGATAATACCTGTGCCTGTGTGCTTTGAGCTGCAGATCTTTGGACCTGTTGTTGCAGCAAAGCTGCTTCTAAGAAGTTTAACTTATTCCCACTCACAGTGGAAGACATTAGGGGACAATGAAGTAGTGAGGTGCAATACCCTGCAGATCATCTTCTGGGAAGACAGTTAATCATGCTGTTGAAAAAATTTTTAAATAGAAATTATGCCAGTGTGTTGGAAAGCCAACAACTCTTTTAGTGCTCTTTGCTTAGATGTCTAGATGAATTTCAGTCTATTCACCAATAACAAAATGTAATCAGTGTAGATCTCACCATAGATGTTTGTGTATCACACGTCTAAGGTGATTTTTGGGACATGAGCCTCTGTCACATAGGGATCCACACTGGCTGCAGAAGCTTGAACAGCCTACTTTGTTGTTGTAATCAACAACAATAAATGCTGAAAATTTAACATCTAAAACCACTGTGGAAGTGCTTGTGCTGTCTCATTAGGATTATGCTGTCTAAACTTAGAACCATAGAATGGTTTGTGTTGGGAGGGACCTTAAAGATCATCCGGTTCCAACCCCGCTACTATGGGCAGAGACATCTTTCTTTAGACCAAGTTGCTTAAAGCCCCATCCATCCTGGCCTTGAACATGTTCAGGGAGGGGGCATCCACAACTTGGAAATAGCTGATCTAAAAATGCAGCAGTTACACTGATCAGTTTTGCAAAAGCTATCCATGAGGGATGGGATTGTATAAGTCTTAAAAGAAAGGAAAAGAAAAACAAAACTGAATAATAATTTACAGGATGATGCAATTTAAATAAATGCAGACAATGCGCTAGAGAGGGAAGACCATTCTGGAACACAAATAGCTGATAACAGAATACAGGGAAATTTGGGAATGTAGAAAGGGACAAAAAATTGAAATGAGTTCATGATGCTCTTCAGAGACCTCTCAAATTTGTATCATGCTACATTGCTTCTAGTCAATTCAGGTGCAGGGCTATAGAGGTAGTTCATTCAGGCATAGGATAGAGTAATGGAAGAAAGTTACCACTCAAATAAATTTTATCTTTTAATCTGCCTCTCTTTCATTAACTAGGAACTTCCATTTATGCCATAGCCCAGAAGCAAAAAAGCAGAGAGGCAGGCTCCGGCAGGGGGGTTGGACTAGGTGATCTTTTGAGGCCCCTTCCAGTCCCTGACATTCTGTGAACCACTGTCATTCTCCCTCCTTGCCTTGTTACCCAGCTCAACCTTTTTCTTTTGTTTTTCTTGTAGCAGCCTGACTGACAAAAGGTATTATAAGTTAAACTCTGAATTCAGGAATCCAGGAGAAAATCACCTAGGCTTCTTTTTAGGTCGTATAATGCAAACATAAAAATTTGTGAAGTGATAGGTAGATTGAGGCATTTAGGAAATGAGGTACATTAACTTGTTTTGGAGAAGACTGATATGCATGCATATATATTCTTAATCCTCATTTGTAATGAATCTATTTTCCTGTTTTCCATGCCTCCAAATGTATTGCAAATACTTAATAAATTTGAAATAATTTGACTCATGTTAGGTAGTAACAAGTTTAAGGGTTGACTGGAAACTTTAATTCCAGGGCAGCAAGGGGTTAAATGCACCCAAAACTTAGTTTATGCTTGCTATGTATTTCTGGTTAATCCAGCATGAAGTGCTACTTTAAATTAGCATCTGATGTACTTTGAAAAGCTTTAGTTGTTACTTTGTTTACTTAATTAAATATCTGAATGAGAAATACTTGTTTTCAGATTTAAAATAATTTCAGCTTTTATAAAAAGAATAATTGTAGTATTTATATATGGCATTGCTTTATAAGAAGTCATTTTCTTATTCCAAAATTACAGCCTTAATAAATATATTTTCCTTAATGAATTTGAGGGGACAGACTCACACCTGAGATAAATCAATATTGTTCCAATTATTTCTATATGAATCAAGCTGAAGCTTCTAGTTGTGACTACATGTTCTGCAGAAATAATATGCAACTTAAGTAATATTGAAGCATCATATTATAGGTAATATATTTTTTTTAACTGAATTGATTGTGTCATTAACTACAGCAAAAACAAGACATGAACAAAAGACCTCCGTCTGGGACTTCATCTACATCTAAAAGCACATCACCGACTCTCACACCCTCCCCATCACCCTCCCCGTCTCCTAAGGTTCACAACACAGAGTCCTCTCTCTCTCCTTCTCACAGACAGACCAAGAGCAATGGTTCCAGCAGTGGTACTATTACAGAAGATGGTGAGTAGGTCACTGTAATTACAGGAGATTCATTCATCAAGAGCACAAAATGTTTAAAGCTATAACTGTTCTGGATTAGTGTGTATCTACATGAGAGTGAGGACTTTTTTCTTTCTAGAAAAAAATATTTATGTGTTTTTTGCTGCAAGATTTGCCTTCCTGCAGTAACTGGCTATTTCATTCCCGAAAGCTGTGATCCCTTCCATTTAGAGAGAGATTGGTACCATCCCAAAGCTAGCATAGTGCATGTAAGTAGGTCATTCTTACATGGCCTCCTTCCTTCCCCTCTTTCTGGTTAAATTCCGTTTTTCACCCTTTACTGAGGGTAGAAAATGCACTTTTTTCACATTCAAAATGAAAATTCTTTTTTTATAAATGCAGTGAAGCACATCACTACAGAAATACAATTTTGATTTGTAGCAAGTCATAGCTACATGCAATTGATTTTTAAGAGCTGTATTGCATTTACTTCTTAAATTGAAAACATAGCCTTATTTTGACCTTATTTTTAACTTTAGGTCATAAGAAAGGATAAAAATGTAATTACTTGTGCACTAAGATTACTGCCTTTAAGTTGAACGTTTAGATCTAAATTACCACACAGTATTTTAAACTGTCATGTTAATGTGTTGGAAACAGGGATATCAATTACTTTGTATTCTTCTGTAAACTTCTCAAAAAAAGTCGAAAAAAATAGCGTGACACAGTATCTTTTAAATAAAACATGGACATGCCTTTTATCTGGTTTCTGCAAGAGGAATTTTGTAATATTTTTGTTTTTTCTGAAAGTGTCCATATTGATTTTGTTTTTTTCATTTATGCTAACTTTGTCCATTGACACTATAGAGAGGTGATATTTGACCTGCTTTCTATCCTCTTCTCATGTCTTAGCTGTAACTTATTGTACTGAGTGCTGGAGAAAATTCTGTCACGTTTTAGTAAGTGTCATTTTATAACGATGGCTTGGTAACATACGAGTTGTTTGTAAAGTGAAGAGAACTCACTGTTGGAAAACAAGGGGAGTTCCCCAAGCTATCAGCTGTTACAGTCTCACCTGGAGAAGCAGGGCTTTGTGACTGCACCACTAGTGCCATGGTACAGTGAGTTTCCTCTGTAGCAGAGGGATAGATTGTCAAAAGCTGAAGCAGTTCTGGTTTCATTATGCTTGTAAGCTTTCATACTTAAGTGGCCCTCTAATTCAAGGGCTTCCCTTCCTGTGAGTTGACTGAGCAGCAACAGTACATATGCTCATAGACTCAGCAGTAATCAGAAGAGTAAGTACAGGCAGCCTGCAATGTTAACTTTGTATTTCAACTAAACTTAAATTAATTGGAAAATTGATTTGCATTGAATATTACTGTAAAGGAACAGTAGGCAGCAGGATTCAGAGGTGTGCCTGGTTTCTTTTTAGGTAACCACTTGATGGACCATCAACAGCTTGTCCCTATTCTGAGAACGAGTGATGTAGAGAATCAGGAAAGACGAAACCATGTGAGAGTAAAAGGAGGCTCTGAAAACTTGGAGAAAGGTAATCTTACCCTACTACTACAGAGCAGCACAAAAGAGGTGCTAAGTGGGAGTAATGTGGCAGAAGTAGTAAGAGCTTTGAGAACCTTTGCTTTCTCCAGGGATATAGCTAAGGAGACAAGCTACAAGTAGAGCAAAAGAAAGACTTAGCGAAAAAGCAAAGGAGAAACAATATGTTATGCAAGAGTTCTCAAACTGAGAGGTTTCAGGTATTGTTCAAACTTAATGTATAATACAGGAACTGGAAGAGGGAAGGAGGAAGAGAAAACATGAAAGACCTACAGCTGAAAGCATTGTCTCTGTGTGTGAAAAGCATTAGATGTCATAGTTGTTTATGACAGCAAGGCTCTGGGCTTGGAGAATCTGTAAGTTTCTTCCCATATCATAACCTATAATTTAAACAGCAGTGTGATGAAAAATAAGAAGGCTGACTAACAACCTAAAAGAAAAAAAGATTAATAATATATCTAAGGGATTCTAATAAAACTTTCATTTTCTTTCTGTAAGATGATATTTTTCATCAAACTGCACGGAGAAGTTCTAATGCTATGTTTTTAAAGCTGGTTACCTTTTCCCATGGATTAATCTCAGTTAGAGTACTAAAGCTTTTAGCCTGAGACTATGCCAACCTTTACAAATTGTGTTAAGCATACCAAATTAATTGGCCTGGAGGTAAAAAACCAAAACCCTAGCAGAAAATAAGGCTCAATTAGAATTTTTCACTTCAATTTTCTGTAGGCTCTTATCTGTACAGAAGGAGGCCTCCAGAATGGTGCATAGAAAAGTATGTCCATTTCAAGATACTTGATGTCTTTTGAGAAGCTTAGAGAGTGAGATTCTCTTTCATGTTTTTACTGATTATGAAAGAGAAGGGACAGTCAAAAGACAAAGAAGTTGAATAAATAAAAGCAAAGTATATTTGGGAACAGAATAGTGATGTCTTCACAATGAAAGTGAGTTTATATGGGGAATATTGAACATAGGAAGAAAGACTTTATCCTAGCAAAGCAAGACTAGATAGAATTAAAGTAGGTGAGAACACAATAAGCCAGTATTTTAATTTCTGATGCAGAGTAAATGTGATTGGGTTTTTGTAATCATATATCACTACATGGAATATATATTTTTAAATATGTTTTCAGCAGTTAAAAATGCAGAGATCACAAAAATCTTTCCTGATCCATGGCGGTTTTTTGTTTTCTTTTCTATTGTTACAGATGAGCTGACTGGCATCCTTAAAAAATTGTCACTTGAGAAGTATCAGCCTATTTTTGAGGAACAAGAGGTACGTCTTTTTTAAAAGATTTATTTTTTACTGTTTTAGAAAAAGTAGGGTGCAGCACACATTGCATCAGAATTGTGATCCAGAATCTCAAATTTAATGTTGCAGAGAGGACCTTGAAACATGGACCAAGCAGTATTCCTGGCGTTCTCCAGGATACTGCAAAAATCAGTGCTTTTTACACTGAACCTAGAATTTTGATATAGATAGGTGCTTCAGATTTTTTTTTTCCTCTTGGTTTTTACACTCTGCTTTTTCTATATATGTCTACATCAGATGTGGCTAAACATTTTATAGGACGTACTGTATCATCCCTGGAATCACAGCTGGAACCTTATTTGCAGATGGAGAACAGCAGGGTGTGAGTGGCCGAGATGGCTACTTTCTCTTCTTTATCTGCTGTGAATAAGCAACAGGAGAATTAAATTGGGGAACCTAAGCATCATTGTAGATGAAGCCTGTGACAGTGGCTTGCCTGAAGGATGCAATGAAAGGAAACATTGCTGAAAAAAGTAAAAATAATTCATTACTGTGTTTAAGACAGTATCAGGCTGAGCAATAATTGTGTGTTTGTTTGGTCAAAGGCAGAGTGTGCATTTGCAGTGAATGGACATACAAGAAATTGACATCACTGCAGAGTACAGGATTCAGCACCACAAACACAAATTATTTAGGTGCATCACAATACAGTGGGCTTGTTACGGTTCCTCTACATGATAGGGAAGGGAACATTCTGTAGAAATGAATATGCTCTGTGTGTGAAGGTTGTATCAATATGAAAAGTTGTTGATATTTGCTCTTATCTCAGCCTTCTGGATGTGTTGATATAATAAAAACTGTTATATGAACAAACCCTAGATTTTCCTCAGGAGACATTGGAGTAGTACACATAATATTTGAAATTCCAAAAATACTTGGGGAAGGGGAAAAAAAAAGAAAAGAGAGAAATCTTAGGCTTATTCAACTAGCTGCTACTGTAATTAGAAGAATTTCTGTGGAGAATATATATTTTGTATTGACAGTGCTTGTCTGAAAAAAAAAAATCCATTAATATTTTAAATATGCTATCATAATTTATTGAATTATTAACAGCAGTTTTAAAACCCAACAACAGAGTGGTAAAGTGGGTAACATTTGGTGTTGGTAACTCATTAAAAATTTTTGTGTCCACAATATTTACAGTAAGTCTATACAATTAAAAAAACCCCCACTTTTAAAGTGTAACAGTGAATCTTTGTCTAAGTAAATCTGTCTTATCTTTTTTTTTTCTTTATTCTGTTTTTCATACGCAGGTGGATATGGAAGCCTTCCTTACGCTCACTGATGGTGATCTGAAAGAGCTGGGTATTAAAACTGATGGATCAAGGCAGCAAATTTTGGCAGCTATTTCTGAACTGAATGCAGGAAAGGTACATTTTGAAGTACTGTACTTAGTAAATTAATTCAAGGTTTGCTTATATTGTTAATTCAACATACATTTAAAAAGTTAAAACAGTTTCAGATGTTAGTTAGAAAAGCCAAATGAATGTTTTCCAAACAAAATATTTAATGTATTTGATTAGTGGAAAATGCCTTCCTTTGTGGTACTGTCTGTGCTCTTTCATTAACTCTTTCCTAGTTCAGTGACTGTATAGTTCTTCTACCCAGTTGGCAATTGTATCAGAAGCTGCTGGTAACATAAACATTGGCAATATTGCGATTACCGAATATTGATTTCAGTGATGCTAAAAAGAATCATCTGGTCACTATAGTCCAGCTATTATATATAATGCAAAAGAAAAGGTCTCCTTTGTTTTGCCTGACAGTTTTTGATTTCTCTGTGTTTAGGTAAACAGCACTTCTCTCATTCCTTGCGCTTTTATTCCCTTTTAATTTTACATTGACATGAACAAATTTGCTAAGAATGGCGTACAGTAAGCAGTATTCTTGTCAGAGGGGTTATGGACTGGATCATCTTTTTATTTCACTTCTCAGCTGCTTTTTCAGCTTTGAGGTCCATTCTCTCTGATACTGGAAGCTTGGATAAACAACATAATTTCTTCCAAGTTAAGATCAACAGCAGCAAGTGATGAGGCTAAAAATTAGGGGAGATGGATGATGCTCCATGCTATAAAGCTATGAAGAAAATAATGAAAATGTTTCTATTGCTGTCTGGTAGTTTCAGGAAAAGATTACTACAAGGATTTGTTATTATTCCTAATAGTACACTGTGACTCTCTGGGCATAGACACACATATTTACGCTTTTTTTTGTGAACTCTTGATAAAACAAATTTAAGAATACCTCATTTTAATTTATTGTGCTTTTACAGGGACGAGAAAGACAGATTTTACAAGAAACAATACACAACTTCCACTCTTCCTTTGAGAGTAGCGTTAGTAACACACGACCTCCAGGTCATTCCCAGTGTAAGTAGCACCTGAAATTAATTGAAAAGTGTATGGATACTTTTAATTAACAGTGGCTAGAAAACAGAATGTGACAAACAAGCCACTTAACTGCTTTCTGGGTTAATGATTGACACGTGTCTGTCTTGCTGAGACTGTCGAGAAGATTTCAAGGTAAAAAGGTAGAGATATTTGTAAGATTTTTGTACACACACCAGTACTGTCTGAAATAAGTGTAAAATTTTTGTTGTGAATTACTAAACACAGAAAATGGGTGTAAGTATTGCAAACTATCGTATACAGTATACTGTATATAGTGTGTATATGTATATATAGTAGCAGTGGGAGGTGCATTTCTCTATGTTACATAATTTACTTCTGCGTACTCTTTATAGGAGACAATTTTCTTTAGTGTGATCAAGTAGATTAAAAATATTCAAGGTTTAATATTTTTATATGATTGTCTATAGTTGGTTTCTTTGGAATACCTCTATTCCAACCATCAGTGTTAGCTGCTAGCCAGTGCTGGAGAAACTGCCTTTTAAAATGTACTGTCTGTAATCAACATGTACAGAAAGGTGTGGCTGACCTGTAACAAATGAATACATTTACTACAGTCACCTCTAGATATAAAAGTTGCAAATCTCTGTCCTGCAGCCACCTGAACCAAAGGCTGATACACATCTGTTACTCAAGTTAAAGGGGCAAAACCTGCTCATATATGTATTTCTGGATCCATGTTTTAGGAGGAACATGAAGGCCATTGAATGGCCTGGACAAATTCACTATGTTAAAGTACCTCTTACTCTCCTTCAGTTGCTTATTTTGCTGCTTGCGTTCACTCACAAAATCATTTCATTTGTTTAGTAGTTGTGTGAAATAATATTTCATGTATTATGTTATTTAGGAGGCCTTAGTAACGAGCCAGTCCCAGTTATTCCAATCTCAGTCAGCTGAATATCACTAGGTATGTGAAAATAGGTACTGACTGTAGTTCTACTGCTGTCTTGGGGAAAACTGGGCATGGCTGAGCTAGTTAGTCAGTGTGGGCTGCTTTCTGTATTCTGTATAGTCTGCTTGGCTGAAAGCCACGATCAGGTGCCACTGTATTGCATTACTTCTCATTCACAGAGTAGTCAGCCTCTGTGGAAACTTCTGGATGTATCTTGGTAACATCCCAGACTTGAAGAGCCTCTTCTATAGGTACTACTAGGTGAGCAGAAGCTGCTCTTTGGGATTTGATAACATGGTGCAATGAACTGGAATTACTTAATAACTGAAGAAGCACACAGATTTAATGTGTCTCCAAGCAACTTGCTGAGCCTAACCACTGAGCTTAAAAGTGTCTTGAAGACAGCAAAAAGACAGTAATGGTGGCAGAGAGCTAGGGAGAACATCTTTTTGTAAGAAAGGAGGCAACAGTTGCTCCTGCTGACCAGCTGACAAGATGCTGCAAGGAGGCTGCCATCAGAGATGTAGCTTTTGAGTTTTTGTGTGTGAGAGCTCTATAAAATAGATTTGTCTGTGAAATAGCAACAGAAACACTAACAGAGAAGGAAGAGGAAGAGAACAGGTAGATAAAAGACGTTTCTGCACCAAGTAAGCCGCTTTTTAATGTAAAAAGTAGCAGTGGGACCCTTACAGAGTCTGGAACTTGAAGTAATTTCCAGGAATGTGTAATATTTTAGAGCATATGAGCAGCTGTACTGAGTCAGATCCAAGGCCCACACAGTTATGTTCAGCTTTTTCATCTGGTTTCATTTGACGTTGTTGTGAAGAGCTGCTTGCTTTCATTTTCTGTGAACTTGCCATGTCCTGACTTCTTTTGCTTCATCCTACTGGATCAGAAGATACAGTGGACAATTGTTCTTTCTTTGCTGCCTCTGTGCCAGTGATGATTTTACACATATCTGTGTAAATATCTTCCTAGGTCATGTTATTTTTTTCCAGACGGAAGACTTACAGGCTGCTTAATCATTCTCTATGCCATAGTTTTTCTGACCTCTTTTCCTTTTCTATTACATCCTTTCAGACTTGGAGATACCAGCCTAGCATACAGTATTAAAGATGTAGGCGTACCGTGGATTTGCACATGGCACGGTGTTGTTTGTTTTTCAGGTGTGTTCTCTATTTTTAGTTCTCTTACCCGTTCCTAGTTATTTCTATTACTCTGTTTTTTTGGCTATAACTGAAGAATTAATTGTTATTAATTGGAACTATCTCTTATAACCCACTTCATCTACTAAGTTTTAGCTCAGAGCCTATCATTTTATGTGAACATTCATACATGTTTTTTTCCATATGTCTTGCTTCATATTACATCATATTTACCTTCACCAGATTTTGTATGCCATCTTACTGTCTGGGCACTGATGTCTCCTGAGGTCCTTTTGCCAGTCTTCTGTTTGCCTGTCTTTTTATTTACATGGATAACTTAGGAAAGTTTGTCACTTCACTCTATATGCCCTTTTGAAATCATATATTGAGTATCCTGAGTCCTCGTGCAGATCACTGTGAAATGCTAGTGATGCATCTCTCCACTACGGAAATAATCACTTTTTACTCCCACCTTCTGTCCTCTGCCTTCCTAACCGATTATTTATCCACACAAGAAATTTTCTTTTTACCTTGTGGCTTCCTTACTGTCTTAAGAGCCAGCCTTGGACCTTGTGAAATGCCTTTTAAAAATCCAGGCATCAAGCAGATCTCTTTTATCTACAAGACTGTTTGCACCTTCAAAGAATTCCAGTAGGTTGGTGAGGCAAGACTTTTCAAATCCCTTTTTGATTGCTTTCCACAGAATTTCAGATTCTTTGTTATAGCTTATGCTAATCTGCCTGGTACTACTGGCTGTCTCACTGGTCTGAGTTTCCCTGAATCTCCTCTTGAACCATTAAAAAAATTAGCATAATTTTTATCACTTCTCAGATATGTGGCAATTTAAACAAGAACCTGTGCTCTGTACTCAGCAATTCAGCTGCTTAATCCTTGTGTTCCTCCAGAACACCTGGCTTAGCAACTGATTTTTTGCTTTGTGTATTTGTTTCATAACCTTTTTTGCCAATACTTCAGGTTAAGATACCTTGGACTCCCACATAAAGAAAGCTTCTGAAATGGGAACCTTCCCAAGCTTTTACATCATGAATACATTTAGTTTTTCTGATGTGAACTTACTTCTATAATGTGTTACACTCTAATCATTGATTGGCATCATGGCCTCTGTGACTGGCTGTCTCCTGTGCTGTGTTTGAAAAGTAATATGGGAAATTTTTATGCTTTTTGCGTGGTCCACAACCACTGGTTTCTCTGCATCTCTTCCTAGGAGCCTGTCTGGATGCCCTTAGCAAGAAAGTCACTTAATGATTTGCCCTTTTAGAAAGCTGGGTGTAGCTCACAGGTTAATCAAAACATCCCGCTCTTCTAGCTGTGTCGGTATCACTGTTTTCACACCTGTCGCTGTGATTTCCTCAATATTTTGGGTAATTTTAAAAGCTCAGTACCTAAAATGGAGTGGCTACCAGTGTAGCTTTGCTTTTATGAAGTTTCCAGCCTGTAGGGGATGTAAAGAAGATAATGAAATACAATCCTAATATATCCATAAGACTCAGAAATGAAAAAGCAGGGGAAAAGAAGCTAAATCCTCACTTTCTGGAAATGTAGCTTATAATTGTGAGGGGATCGGTAGGCTGACTTCCATCACCAAGCCTGTGAACGTCTACTGCTTCCACACCCTTCCACATCCGTAGCTCCAGTGCCCACTTAGCTTCAGTTCCTCCCAAAATGCCCCATTGCCCAGGCTCAGGCCCCTCTCCTGCTGCCACTGGGTCAGGAGCTGTTGCTACTGGTCAAACCTGGTATGAGATGACAGGCAACAAATAGAAAAGCATCTAGATGAGCGTATCTAGAATGGGAAAGAGAACTGCAGTGATTATCTACTTTTACACTTCTAAGGAATTCAGAAGTAAGACAATGATAGGCAGAAAAAGTAAAAGCAAGACCATCAGAAGCAGAGGACTGATGATGTAACTAATTCCACACAACAACTTTTTTTAGAGAAGATTTCTTCTTGATGGGTTTTTTTGGCAGTTCTAAATGAGTTGCTGGCTTGTATCCTCCGCTAGCTTCTGATTGAGCACGTCCTGCTGAGGTCATTGCTTCTGAACTTGCTGTGATACTCACTACAAGAACTCGTAGAAAAGTTGTTGAATGTTTGTTGGGTTTTGGCAGATGAGCTCTTTTATAATAAAACTCACTGTTGGGAGAAAGATTCCTTTGTACATCAGTTGCTGTGTCATCGCTGCGGCTAGAAGTGAGATGATTCTGCTTCAACGAAAACAACAGGCTTTGACATACATTTGTTTTCTCTATCACAAGGGTACTGAGACCACTTCCTCCTCATCCCACACCAGTGATACTAGGTGAGGCCGTGGGAGCTCCATATTCCAGTCCTTGCCTGAACTGCATAAGGCAGATGACTGCTCTAAATGCAGAATAAATAATTATAGGTTGCTGGACCCATAAGCCATTAGATTCGAGGGCCCCATAGGTCTTGTCCATATTCTGAATAGGCAAACAGTACTTGCATGGAGAGTGTTGCATCTGTCTTTTTTTAATGGAAATTAACCTTCTGAAATTATGCCAAAATTAATTCATTCCAAGAATGCGTGTTACACGGTTTTTGACACTTTGTTAGTTATCGAGGGAAAAAAAATATGTCTTGAAAATTGCTAATGCATGCTTATCACCCTGTCCCTGACAAGAGGAACTGCTAGGAAGATCCTACCTCTTTATAACCCAGTGAACTCTGTCAAACAAACACAGAATTAGCTTGCTGCTTCACCATGTAAATTTAGAGCAGATGACCAGCCCACGGAGGCATGAGGCAAGATGACTGCTTTGAGGAGCAAAATGCTCCTCCTTGGTCTGGACTCCAGTGAAACAGCAAGTGCCAGTATGAAGTTGAGATTTCTGAGGAAACTGGATTTAAGAAATTATATCACCCCAGGAAATGTTTGTGTTTGTAGTTTGAGGTAACCTTTTTGCTTATCTGATTCTGGTAAAAAAGAAAATGAGACTTCTTGAATGCCTAATTGCCAGGACTAATTGTTTAGGGTTTGGTTTGGGTTTTTTTGGTTTCTTTTTTGGGGGAGTGATGGTGGTGTTAAGATTCATGCAGCCATCAAGTGGATAATTAAGAGATTGAACAGATCTGTCAGTGGTCTGCAAGTTAATTGAAAGAAATTACGCCAAAGGAGATCGAGCTGCATCTCAACATAGACTTGACAAATCGGAAACAAAAAGCTGAAAAAAGTTCATGTGTATTCTATGAAACTATGGGGAAAACACAGGAGCAAACCAACTGAAGTAATTTTCTCCAGAGGAGTATAAAAAAAATTCCCATGTGCTGGTTTTAATACATATGTAAGAAAGTGTTACATTTTAGATATGTGATAAAAAATGGAAACAGTTCATGGAGTTCCCTTGCCCAAGTCTGGGGCTTGTAATAGAATTTGACATTTCTACAAAAATGACATGAAAAAAGCAAGAGAGCATCCGAGGTTTATACTCAGAAGGACACAATCTTCTTTTTCTCCTAGGGCATTTCTTAATGTCATTATGAGAAAAAAAAAAACCCAACAAAGATTTTTTGGAGGTAAAGCTAACCTTCTAATACCAAGTTTATTGAAATACTCAAAAGAAAAAGACGAGCCTCGTCACTCGGTACAGACATACAGCTGCTCTCCCCCACCTAAACATAACACATCTCTTATAACAGGTGAGAAGAAAAGAGAGCACCCCAACATCTAGCGGGGGCACTGAACATAGGGAGGATTTAGATACCAAAAGAATAAACTGAATATTCTCCAGATACAAGTTAAATGAAGAGTAACTGTGCCTACAATGAAAAAAGAATATGATGCCATTCAGTGTATCATTATTTGCAGAAATTCTGGTTGTCCTGTTTCTCCTTACATATGATGGTATGTTGCATATTGATACATACTTACAGATACATATCTGCAGATACAGGTATACAGATATAGGTATTTTAAAACATATAACAGAATAAAGTGGAAGACAGTGGGGAGTCGTTTTGTATATTTACTTTCCACTTCTGGATTCAGAGTCAAAAATATCAAATGGAAATTATCCAAAGGAGGGAGTTAGAAAGATTGCAGAGAAGTAAAAATAGGAGTGAAACCAATATAGACTTGCAAATAAAAATCATAGAGGATTCAGGTAGTCACTTGCTGGTAAGGTACACATTGAGAAAATGGAGATACTGGAAAGGTTTGTGGCAGTAGGTGACCTTTTCGCAGGTGACTTTGACTTTTTATACCTTCTGCATACAGGAGAGGGCTTAAGATGAGTGAAATAAATGACAGGGTCAAATTGTTGGAGTCTGGTATAACATGATACTGGGAAACATGGGCCTGTTTCTGGTAGCTGTGGAATTACTCTGTCTTCTTTAAAGCTGTGAGTCTTGCTGGTTGCAGTTTTTCAGAATTTTTTTTTTCTTTTACAGCACCTGGCTGCTCTGTAAAACCACAAGAAGCTGTTCCTCCTAAAAGGTAGCTACTGGAAAAAAAAAAAAAAAGGTTTTTTTCTTATGGTGAAGTTTGGCATCTGGCTGAGTAAATCCAAGTGTACACAAGTAAAAATTTGAAAAGTTAGTCCACTACACCTGTATAGGACTTTCTGCAGTAAAGTGCTTAAAATTCAAATCCCACAAAGAATCAAAGAAAATAATGAAGAGATTGCCTTTATAGTTCAGCCTAATCCTTGAATTGTTGAAGGTGTCAGTGCTGTACATTTGAGAAGAACAAAGTCAGAAGAGCAGGAAGAATGAGTGACCATATAAGAAGATTCATGTTTTCACTCTACTCTTGCCCATAGAGGAAGAACCCATAGGAGGCCTACATGGGCACACTCAAGAACAACAAAATCGTGGAATAAAGCATGAAAACCACCACAAATTATGAGAGCTTCTACATGGAGAAACAGATAAACTGAATTATGCCTCTATTAGCTGGATACCAATAAAGGAGTCCAAACTGAAAATGTAATGGTTTCGTGAGAAGGAATATAGAAGAAAAGTAATGCTGCATTCTTCATTAACCAAAATACACTTTATTCAATATTAAGAGGTTAGAACAGCAGTAAAAGTAAATATGAAATACCTATTTGTAAAAATAGCACTTTATTTAAGGAAATGCATAATCTGTCACCAATATTTAAACAGAAATAGTGTTAAAATGTTTTATATTGTGGATTGGCTGTTTTGAGAATAAAAACATTTAACTGATACTACCTGGGTTTTTTTGAACAGTAACGCCAGCAGATCCTTAAAATAAATTTTTATAACTTTATTTTTGTAATAATTTTGAAAGGATTAGTTATAGTAGTTATGTGTGGAAATAGTCCAGAAATATTAAGGCAGGTAAAGATCTTGGAACTCCAGTGCAGAGTAATGTTCTCAAGTAACTACTTCTGTACAGAACTAAAGAATTTACATTTTTTCACCTTCCTCACTGTACTGGTTTTAGTGGGGTTTAGCAAAAATAGGGATGGAAGCAGGCATGTTGATAGACAGATAACAGCACCAGTGAAAGCCCCTGCTGTCCCTCAGGTGCCTCCAGGTGCATCAGCTGGTTTTGTGATGGCTTCATTGGTTTGACCATCTGAGGAACCACTCCAGGTTGCTGTCAGCAAACAGCAGAGCAGCTGAGCTGTGCCAGGTTACGTGGCTGTGCCATATCAGAGCTGGCCTTGAACACAAGGAGCTGAATCTTTAGGAAAAGAGGTTATAGGGGGGTACTGCAGAAAAAAGATGATTACAAGCTGACTAGGGCAATCAGAGCGTGTTAGTACCCTGAGGTCCTTGGTGGTCATACTATTACCATCTTGGGTGTTAATAGTATAGCCATGTGCAAAATAATTTTTGTTCTATTTTTCTTTTTCAGTGCATGTAGGTCAACAAACTTGTAACACAATCAACATTTAGCATGGTATTTCATGTTTCCAACATGTCTTATGCCCAAGAAAATAACTCCTTATGCAGAATTGTGCTTCAGGATTAATTTCAACTTTAGGATAAAAATACGTAATTTCTGCTTTCACAGTTTTCAAGAGCTGCTGCTAGAGATGACATGGCAGGACAGGTCTACAGAAGTGTTAGGTGCTAACCATGTAGTACTAAGCTAATGGCCTGGCCCTTTCCTGAAGAAATGTGTGGACAGTTTCGCTTAAAACACTTCAAAATGCAGCTGAGAAATAATTGTAACTTCTTATTAAGACTAGGAAACAGTTGCTGTTTCTGAGCCAAAAATGTGCAGTGGCACCTGGGAGCCCCTGTCAGTGTGACTGAGGATAAGGGATCTGTAATGAGTTTAACCATCTTGCCTAGTGCCCGTGGGCCCTATGGCCACACCATTTCTCTGTACAGTTCTGTGCTTTCAGTGCAGCAGGTGGCAATCCAAACATCCAACACACTGCAGAGTCCCTGCAAGCCCGCTCATAGGGATACCTCAAGGTGAGAACCCTTCAGCCATTCCCGTTCAGAGCATGTGGCCTTTATTCTTTGGAAGGAGACCTACTCACCTGCAATAAATTCAGGGAGTGTGTGTTCATTTTGGGGTTTTTAGGTCCTTTCAATAAGACATTGAACAACAGTTAGGGTGAAAAACACTTTCCAAGGTTGAGAGATACACTCTTTTGACAATCTAAGAGGATTCATATTCATAGATACCACTGCCCAGAAGCCTGTAGGACTTCAAGGCTATAAGGCAAGGTAGGGGCATGCTTCGTTCCTCTCGCTGAATCTGTCTCACAGAAAATAATTCAAGATTCATGGAGTGTAGCCCTGTAAGACATTCGTCTAGGATGGGGAGTAGTTGGCTTCAGTTCCTCTAGTTGATATATTTATTTACCAATTCCTAAGCTCCATAGTGACTGAAGATAAACAGTGCTATAAATTTGGGAATGTTAGCCTAAGTGCATCAAAACACAACACTGTCAGAGGAGACCGACTGGAGCATGAAGGGTTTACACAGCAGGCAGAAAGGGTTCCTCATACTGTCCCATCAACACGTCCCACTATCTAAACAGTTAGCTTTATTAGCACAGGAACAAAACCCCACCATTCTAGAGTTTGGGAATCTTTTAGTATCTTCTGCTGCACTTACTTCTTAAAGGTGGTCTGTCCCTTCTGCCTGATTTAGCTGCCATCCTAAGAGGTGAAACAGAAAGCTTTGCTTAGCACGGCTGCTTTTTATGGCTCTTGGAGGAGGTAAGTTTGCGACCAACACCTGCACTGGTGTGTCTGTGTGCAAGGGCTGACACTGTAGGCAGTGGAGGTCTGGTCGGTACAGAAGGCAGTATCTGACTAGCCTAGAGCAGGAGCTTGGATCAGTTGTCCAGACATCCACTGGCAACTTGCATGTCCTAGGGCATCCAAAGCACCCATAAGGGATGCCAGACATGACACTAAGTGAAGGTTGTGATCAGTTTGTTTGTTGCAGTCACTTGGACAAAGAGACCATTCAGAGATGGAGATCGTCATTTCCTTGACCTGTCCTGATTTGTCACAGACATTCAAAGGTGAAAAGCTGTTTCCCATTTGCTGTTCATTTTCCTTTGGTTTGAATGAAAATCTTTGTTAGCAAAGTTTGCTTGCCTCATAATGAAAAGTGATACCTTCTGAGTTTTGCCAAAGAAGTAAACACATGAAGAAACAGCTCCTATTCTGATTTAGTCTAGAATTATGGACTTGACAAATCTGTAGTTGTTAACCTTAAGCTGTCTTATTTTGTTGAGGAGTACTGTTATTTTACAAGAAACTTTTATAAGGTTATTTGAATTTAATTTTCTTTTTTTCTGCACTTTGAGCTTTAATCAAGATCAGATTTTAAATAAAGATAACTTCGTTATCTGGAAATGATGGAAGCGTCATCTGTAGTATTTCTTATGCTTCAGCAAATGACTCAGAAGCCAGGTAGCTTCTCAAGGGAACAACTTTGGTTTCCAGAGTAAAGGAGAATATAAAAGTTCATGCAAACCAATTTTTTTAATACCAAGATCACCTCAGTTTCGAATTGCTTGGCTGGTCTGACTCTGACACTATTAGCCTCAAACTTGCCACTTCTAGATTTTATTTTAATTCAAAGCCCTCTTGGCAGTACAAGGGTGCATTTAGTGGGAACAGGCTTTGTCCATTAAACCCAAAACTTCTTGTGCTATATTTAAAGCTCATTTGGAATACTTAATTTCCAGTCTCTCAGAAGTTTGTATTATTGAAATAAACTGTTAATGCAATGTCCTCCTTCAAGTGTCACAGCAAAGAATTGTTTAAAAGCAATTTTTGCCACTATTCTTCACAGCATTCCAGTGTGCATTAAAAATGGAGTTGACACGCAGTCATAAAAACAAAAGCAAATAGACTTTTGAAGTATGATCTCCATATTCCCAACATTGCACCTACTGCATTTTAATTGGCTTCTCATTTCTCTCAGTTCTCATCAGTAGGTATGTCCAGCACTCTCAAAATAGGTCTGTCTGGTCTTAAGAGGAATGCCACACCATGGCTGTTAGCAGAGTGGCTAGTGCTGTACTGGAGCAGGGTTCTTGCAAGTGATAAATGAGTAAATTCTTATAAATGGTATAAAAATATTCTGTGCTAATGCATGTACTTGATACGTGGCTGGGAGTTCTTGTTTTTAGTAAGCCTAAGTGATTTGTAACAGTACAGACTCAATGGTCTGCAATTAGCTGGAGGAGAGCTTTACATTTTGCTGAGTTGTGGAACAAAATCACTTCACACCGAGAGCAGCCAGCAAAGTGCAATGGATTTGATCACCGTGGGCTTGATTTTAATTGTCCTCAACAGATTTCACATATTTTTTTTCCAAGTTATTCTCTGCTGCCAGTTTTGGGAAGATGTAATAAAAGGAAAACAAACTGAAAAAAAGTTAGGGATAGAAGCACAGTATTTTTACTCGATTGGGATTACTGGTTTTCTTTCCAGGATCTGCCTCTCTGTTAGGCTGGTTTGTTAACAGTCAGAATTAATGTTGAAGGCCCTGGGACTCACTTTCTTCAGCAGGTCAGGACTCCAAAGCACTGACCTTTTATCACAGATTCGATTCAAAATCCATTGCTCACATTCCTTTATTCAGACACAGAGCACACAGAAAGCGTAATTCTCTGCGCTCGTAATTAAATGGTGTCTGCAGAGGTCCACCTTTCCAGCTGTCTGGGGCACAGAATACAAAACAGCTCCAATTTATAGATGCTCTTAATACATTGTATCACTTATCACCCATCATGCATTTTAATTGCTTATTTGGTGTATGTGTCAAGCACACACACAAACTGTAGTCCTCAGCAATGCCACAGATTCATTTCACAGAATCACTGAATGGCTGAGGCTAGAAGGGACATTTGGAGATCATCTTGTCCATGCCGCCCCTCCTCAAGCAGGCCACCTAGAACTGGTTGTTCAGGGCCATATCCACTGCTCTCCCCTCATCCACTGAGAAAGTCATTGTAGAGAGCTTATCAGGTTGGTCAGACATGATTTCATGCTGACTACTCCCACGCTCCATCTTAAAATATTCGGAAATTATTTCCAGGATTATTTTCTCCATCACATTCCCCACAGCTGAAGTGAGGCTGATTGGTTCTAGTTCCCTGGATCCTCTTTCTCGCCCTTCTTGAAGATTGGGATGACATGTGCTTTCTTCCAGTCCTCAGGAACCTTGCCCAATCACTACAACCTTTCAAAGATAATTGAGAGTGGCATTGCAATGACACCAGACAGCTCCCTCGGTACTTGTGTGTTCATCCCATCACGTCCCACAGACTCATTTATATCATACAACACCTCTTGGAATGCCATG